AAAGTGGAAATGAGAAGAGTTTGATTACAACCGAGAGAGATCAGCAGTGGGTAGGATTTTGGATTTTTTAAAATTAAGTGGTGGGGGCGATACAACACCAATAACATTGTACCGATGTGTACATCGCTTTACTCCGGGTTCTCGTAGATATACTCGTACTTCATACAGGTGAGATGGGGGAAATTGGAAAGGCGCCTGATCAAAATCCCAGAGCGTTAACGGGTCGGTTTGTGAGACCAGATGGACTCGCAGGATATAAATAGGCCAGTCACTGGTACGCTGGGAGTACCTCATGTGCCGCCGTCGACCGGCGCTTAAGCACGTCCTGTCAAGTCAGTGATACATGTACCTACTGAACTCCCTTGCTCGACTCAGGGGTATCAGTGTATTAGAGTATGCATACAACTCTATACTCTGTGCTTCACATCCTATAGTTATACTGTAGTTGGTAGTTAGTAGTTACTGTATTGTACTGAGGCCCTCTACTAACAAGGATGACCACTCTCCAGGGCTTCCCCGGAACAGTGACAGGCAATGACTCCACTGATCCAGACAAAGTGTGGTACTACATGTACATATGGCTTGGCCAGCTCCAATCCCAGTTTGAATTCTGCAGACAACCCCACCATCCCAATTTAACGTACGGAGTACGGAGTGAATAGATCCATATCATCATGGCGACATAGCAAGAGCGAGTCCTCCATACCCAAAGTAGAATGTACTGGCCTAATCAAGGGATCCTCAGAAAGCCATCTGAGTATCAAGGAGGAATAGTCCCTGTGCCTAAAGTAGGACTGGTTGGCCAGGGAGACGGTTATGACACCGTAATACACGCCATTTATTGGCGAACTCGGCGGTCTTGGGTGGCGCTGACAATACAATACCCATAATTACAGCATTCCCATTCCAGACCCGTCCCTGAACTGAGACACAGACTGACAGTACCGACAATACAGACAGTACAGTACCCTCTGCCCTCTGCCCTCTGCCCTCTGCCCTCTGCCCTGCTCTCTCCAAAGAGGCAAATCGCTTCCCTTCACTCCCTTTTGTCTTTCCTTTCCCTTCATTCTCCTCCTCCCAACCCTGTGCTGCCGCGTCGCTCGCTCGATCTCTTTCTCTTTCTCTCTATCTCTCTCTCTCTCTTCATCGCTTTCTCTTCTGTTCGCCCTCCATCTCGTCTATATTCTATTTCCTGACCCGACCGCGTGTCGACCCGCCTCCCGATCGACACTACTTGCTGCAACTCGACTCCCAACCTCTTCGCTACAGTCTAATCACCTCACCACTCCTCTTTCAGGCCTTTATATTCCCCGACTCTCGTTCATCCACTCTCCCCCCCATCCATTTTACGATCCAACCCGCTTCCGCCAACATCGCCATCCGACACACGGCCTGATGAAGCTGTAGCCAAAAAGACCTCCAGGCGACCCCACTTGACTGCACGCCTTTCTTGCGTTTTTTTTTAGCTCCTTTATTCTCGGATTTCTTGGTCTTCGACAATAACATTCTGACTCCGATCGATCGATTTGGGTCCGAGAGATTCCCACCAATCCCACCGTGTCCGCCGAGCACTCGGCCGCTTCAAGACTTCCGCATCCGGCGGCTGGCAACGTGGTACTCCGGAGTATCGGTCTCACCTCACCCGTCATATTCTTCCTCTTCATCATTCTCTGCCTTGTGGCTTATACCTTCTGAATCGATTTTCGACTGGTATCGGAGTGCGCCGCCATGCGATATCTATCATTTCTGACCATCTTCGTCGCCTTCGTGGCGCCGTTGGTGTCTGCCGTAAAGTTCCTCGAGTCCAATGCGCTTAATGTGTGCATGGAAAGCAGCAACTTCACCGCCAACTTTTTCAATGTCGCCTACTACCCAGGAAACAATTCACTCATGATCAGCTTTGATGGTGTCTCCTACATCTCCGGCAAGGTTGTCGCAGAAATCACCCTCACAGCTTACGGTATCAATTTCTACCAAAACACGATCAACCCATGCTCAATTGAGGGTATGGGCATGTGCCCAATGGCCCCAGGCCCCATCGATCTAACCGATGTTACCCTTCCGATTGCCGGGGATACTGCCTCGAGCATTCCAGGTAAGCCAAGCAGCGCGCTCGTAGCCAGTCGGGAACTAACTTGCTAACTACTACCTCGCAGGCATGGCTTATACCATCCCAGATCTTGACGCAAATTTGAAAATCGTGATCAAAACCTTGGAGTCGCTTGAGAAGATTGCCTGTGTGGAGGCACAGCTCTCCAACGGCAAGACCGTCTATCAAGTCGGAGTCGCCTGGACGACTGCAGTAATATCCGGTCTAGGTCTCGCGGCGTCTGCTATTACCTCCGGACTCGGCCATTCCAACACAGCAGCTCATGTTGCTGCCAACGCCCTGTCACTTTTCGGATTTTTCCAAAGTCAAGCAATGATCGGCATGACGTCGGTCCACAGCCCACCGATCTTTGAATCTTGGACCCAGAATTTCCAGTGGAGTATGGGAATTATCCGTGTCGGTTTTCTTCAGAATATCTGCACTTGGTATCAGCGGTCCACCGGTGGCAGCCCCTCTACGGTTCTCTCCTCCCTCAGTGAAACCTCAGTGGAGGTGTTGAAGCGCCGCAAGCGTGATCTGATGGACCCAGCCGTTATGCTCATGAAACGCGGCATGAACACGCTCTCTAAGCGTGCTGACTCCGGCCAAAAGGTCCAGGTTGTACGGGGTATCAATCGTGTCGGTTTCCGTGCCAATATGGAAGAGACAAATATCTTCTTGACTGGTCTGATTTTCTTCACCGTCTTCGTTTGTTTTGTCATTCTCATCGTCGCAGCCTTTAAGGGAATTTGCGAATTGCTTGTCAAAGCAGGCAAAATGAAGAGTGACAGGTTCCAGGACTTCCGCAATGGGTGGAGAGTTGTTCTCAGAGGAATCCTCTTCCGAATGGCTCTGATCGGTTTCCCTCAGATGTGTGTTTTGTGTCTCTGGGAGTTTACCCAGCGTGACTCGGCCGCGGAAGTCGTTCTTGCTGTGGTCATGTTCCTCTCGTTGCTTATTGCACTGGGCTGGGCTGCGCAGAAGGTCATTCGATTGGCCAAGCGCTCCGTGACAATGCACAAGAACCCGGCTTATATTCTCTATTCGGATCCTTCTGCTCTGAACAAGTGGGGCTTCCTATATGTGCAATACCGGGCGACGGCCTACTACTTCGTTGTACCATTCCTCATTTATGTCCTGATTAAGGGAATGTTCATTGGTCTGAGCCAGCCCGCCCCCGTGGTCCAGACTGTAGCATTGGTGGTTCTCGAGACCGCCATGCTAGTCGGCGTCTGTGTCATTCGGCCATGGATGGATAAGAAGACCAATATCTTCAACATCTCTATTGCTGTTATCAACTTTCTCAACGCCATTTTCCTTCTTGTGTTTTCCAACGTCTTCAACCCACCTGGCATGATGATTGCCTTCATGGGTGTGATTATTGTCGTGATTAACGCCGTCTTTGCTCTGGTCCTCCTTATTCTGGTCCTCATCGCCTCAGGTTTCGCCATCTTCTCGAGGAACCCTGATACCCGATACCAGCCGATGCGTGACGATCGGGGCTCTTTCATCAAGTCTCAGACTCAGTTGAACACCGAACTGGATGCGCTTAGTGCGGCCGCCCGCGGTGACATGAAGTCTCACGTTTACGAGCCAACCAACCCTTTCGGGGACTCTTCGGCTTCCATTTCCAGCGGTACTGGTCATAACAACCATGCGCAAATGGACCAAATCACCACAATTCACAATGGCAACCGCCAACCCTCACCCGTTGACCCATCAGTACCGCTCTTCCCCACAGGCGGTGCTCCCGCTACGCATCATGCCCCCCCCACCAGGCTATGAAAATGCACCCGTTGGTGCATCAGCTCTCGACACCGGCTACCGGCAACAAAATAGCTCTAGCCCATGGCAGCGAGGGGCTGGCTACGAGCACTAGGCGTTTTCCTTTCGGGTCACCCCAGTAACCTTTCAATTTTGAAATGAAGACATGTGATTTTTAGCGTGGGGCAGCGATGGTTTCTCTTCTTTTTTTCTATCCATCCATTTTGGGTCTGGTATCTTTTTGGGTTTTCTTAAATCTGTTCACTGCGATCGGTCGATCATCGAATTTTCCTTGACACATCTTCCCCTTCCACCGCTGAGTCGGTGTTGATCTCTTCCTACCTTACTTCTATACTCCCTCTCCTTTTCCCCTTTCCTTCTCTCCCAGAATTTACCACCTCCCCTTTGTTATGATGGTGGCGGCTTCTTTGTGGTCGACGTGTACTTTTCTTTGCTACTTGGTAAGGCGTTGTTGTGTTGCATCTAGGGTATGGTTATGGGTTGTGGTCCCACTTCATGGGCTCCGGAATAAACTTTTGCTCTTTTCCTTTTCAAGAAAGAATGATTTGTATACTGTGTATTCGCGGTGATTGTTGAATAAATCATTAAATGCTCGGCTTTCACAGGGTTCATCTACTAAGTATCAGGACTGGTAAATACCTAGGTACCTAGGTACAGATCCATATATCTTGGACTTGTGTAGTCGCATCCTTCGAAACATTACTCCTACTATCAGACTTGAAGATGAATGAAAACAATAAATCTCCGCCTGGGCAGATTGATCGCAGATGTCTTGGTGGTACTAGTAGATACTAGTATCAAGACCCTACTGGAACGGTTTCACAACACGACTGGGTAGTAGTAAGTGCACACGACATTGATTGAAATCCTATGCATTTTGAATCCGTCATTGCCTATCAGTCCATAAAATAAGTAGTAGCAACCCATAAAAACCGCTATCATACAACACCGAGGGAAAAACACCCTAGAGAGACTATTTGCTATCCACCACAAATGGCGGCCTGCATGTAATCGTAACCAGATACAATGTATTCAACCGATTTGAATCGTTAGAAGAAACGCAAAAAGAAGAAAGATACCAAAGCCTCAAAGAATAAAAGAAAGAAAGGCTCAATTAGTCGCCTCCTCACCACTTGTCCATTCCTGGGGGAGGACCGCCTCCTGGAGGAGGGTATCCTTCTGAACCACGGGGTCCAGATGGAATGGGCGAGTGTGTTGCACCACCTGGCATGGGTGGGGGAAACGCACCGGCCGAACCAGGAGGAGGAATGGGGAAACCGGGGAAGCCGCCTGGAGGAAGGGGAGGTAGGCTTGAGCCGGGAGGCATGTTCGGAAGCGGGGGCGGGAAACCTCCCTGAGGAGGAGTGCCGGAGGCATTGGGAGGGAAGCGAGGTGGGAAGGGAAGACCGCCGGGGGCGCCGGGGGCTGTCCAGGCGAAATCAGACTTGTTAGTTGTTTGTCCATTTAGGTAGGGTGTTGGCGGATGTGGAAGTGGGTGAAGAAGTTGAGAAGAGGCTCCGTGGGGATACATACGAGGCGGCATTCCTGGGGCGCCGGGGGGCCCCTGGTGGGGGCATGCCGAATGGAAGAGGAGGTCCTTGGCCTAGATTGCCTCGCGAGGCCGTTGTTAGGCTTGTTTGTTGAGGTTGTTGGTAAATATGAAAGATGGGTGTACCTGGGAAGCCAAATGGAGGCGGGAATGCACCTGGCACCATGGCGGGATTAGGGAGGGGCTGGCCCTCTGCGGCGTAGGATGCCGTGATGGAGTCAATGACAGATTGGGCGTTTTCTTGTCCGATTTCTAATTGTGGTGTGATTAGGTATATTCGCGATTGTCTTTTTTGAAGATTCGGGGGCGTACGCTGATAGTACTCCACAACGTTCCTCAAGTGGTTTCGACCGGAGTTGTGCGCCTTGCGCACACTCATTGAGTCGTGCGTAAGGTAGACATCGCAGTAATCACCTGTATATTAGGGTTAATTAGCCGACCGTCTTTAACGATGCGCTCTATCTCGTTCTGGGGCACTTGATATCTGCAACGCTCGTCGTGTTGCTACATCGCGAAGCAAGATTGGGCATCATGGGGAATCAGATTGTCAAGGCAGACAGGGGACCTACAAAAGAGTTCACAGAAAGTCAGTTTATATGCAAAGGACAAATGAGGGCATGGAGGACTTATATTTCGGCATCTTGTCAGCTTCTGCGGGCGTTCGGTTGCTACCGCGCGACAGACAAAAATTCCAGCCGGGGGTGGAGGAGAGCTAGCGCAGATGTGACGCAAGGCAGTTCACAGAATTCGCACTTAAAGATGCCACAGATCTCAAGGACAGAGCTTGCGACAGGTGTTTGACGGTGAATGTGGAGAACAGCGCGATTTCAAGGTTGGCAGGTCGTCCGCGGGCTTGAGTCGGCGAGGGTCGCAGAGGCGGTGTGAGATGACAGAACCCAAGCTTATCGGGTTAGGTAATCATTGCAATGGTCCCACTTGGAAATGGGCATAATCTATTTGCTTTTTGAGTGTATACTCTGTACTGCAGTACGGAGTATGCATCGAAATATATGCAGCGCTCCCATAGGGCTTAGTGGTCAATCTTCCAGGCGATTTCCTTAAGGCTCGAATGTATGCGCTGCCCGGTTACATACTGCCTAGGGTACCTCCCAAGGCTAGCAGCCATGCCGGCGATACCCAGCTATACAACCCACTTTAGCCAAGGTGCAACGGTCTACTTCATTCCGGGGAACCAAATAATGAGATACTCCTGATTAATTTCAGGCAATCAAATTACATATTCTCTTAGATTTCTAAAATTTCAAATATTATAATGGCCGCCTAATTATGCAAGCTAATGTTTCTCCTTAGTGTTGACCGGACGGTGTATAGCCGGAGTTTGCGATGGCCCGCAAATCCCGAAGAATCGGAGCCAAAATATCATGCCATTGAAAAGTCAGCTTGGTTTTGACTTACATTTGGAAGAACTACCATTTTATTCAACTTTCAATCTAGATAACATTCTTGTTACGATACTGTAAACTCAAGATGGTTACTGGGGTTTACATCGCCCAGGCAATCGGCACGATTGGATGCGCGGCAGCTGCAGGTAAGATCTACCATCTCATAGCCAAAAGCCAATCCCAGTGAACCATCGCCTTACCTTTATAGGTGGGATTGCCACGCTATCAATAGCATGCATCCCCAACCTCACTCTGCCAGCGCGCCGCCCGGTCAAATCTAGTCACTCCTTCTACGAAACGCCTGGCAACCTCGCCGCCCATCTGTCGCACCAATGGCTGGACTTTTATGATCGTGGTCATAAGATATTCCCATCAATTGCAGGCCTTGCCTCTCTTGCAAACATTTACGTCTTCTGGGCGTTGCGGGATGCACCAACGGTCGCGGTATCCAGCGTGGCCAATCACTATCTGCTTGCTGCCGCCGTGGCTATGAGCATTGCACCTTGGACTCTATTGGCTATGCTCAAGACCAACAAGAGGCTGGATTCATACGCAGCAAGTGATGATGAGGTAGGCCACGAAGATTCTCAGGATGCAATTACTAGCACAGAAGAACAGGCGAAGCGATCCCAAGCGGACAATGAGGTGCCTAGACTCTTGAAGAAGTGGGCGAAGCTTAACTTGGTGCGATCCATATTTCCGCTTTTGGGTGCTGCTATCAGTCTCCATGCGACGTCTCGGGTAATATCGAGCCGCGCTTGATCTTAGGCTGTCCAGGGCTTGTATAATATTCTCCATGTTGGTATTCAATGCTTCACTGTTAAAGTACCACCTAAATAGTACTACTAGGATATATCCGAGCCCTCCATCTCTGCAGATCAATAGATGATAACCTGGCCCCGAGGTTCAATTTGCGAAGGACTTTTCCGATTCTCTACTTAAAAGGGACACATATAGTAGCATTCAATCCTTCTGTAACTGTATAATTCTTATTCAAGTTGTTTCAAAGTGACTAGCAGCCTGTTGAAATATCGATTTCGACTCCATTTCAATTTTCTTTGTTAATGTTCGGAGTTGTGGCTGAAGTATTGCCGTCCTGCCTTCCTTATAATACCACCCTGATTTCGCGTTTTCGATATTACCTCGCTCGTGCAATGTGGACTGCGCGATCCTGCAAACGACAGCGTTCGACAACATCAAAAAGGGCTCGAGATGAGCAGCATCATTGGCATAGATCAAGCGTAAGCTCCACCTCATTTTATTTTACATCAAGTTTTTGGACCTAACACCAAGACCTAGCACCAAAAAAGATTTTATACAGACACTCTCGGTGCTCTATAGTGGTGTTACAGCAAAAGTTTGAAACCCCTTATCGACCGCCCTGATCTCTGCCTTCACAAGGGGAATAAGTAGCTACCTAAGATACAATACATAGATTGGCCAATCTATTCACTCTCAGTCAGCTACTAGTCTTCCATTAGAAGGTCGATAATGGTGGGCAATATGAGGTTGCAAACTTTTACAACGCCACTGTACAACTCAAGTCTTTCCGAGCTCATTGAGAGAGACAACCCTTTTCGAGCGCACTATTCGGTTCCTTCTAAGCCATGAAGAGACTTCACCAGTTCCGCGTGCGTATGCTCGCAACTGAGCTCAGCTCTATCTACTACATGGCTTTTTCATGGCTTTCATGTCTTTGATTAGTCGTTTGCTCGCGGTTTAAACGCCGTTTGTCCTTTGTTGAGAGAGTACTAGATATAACATGTTCGGAACGTCCTGAAATGAGGCCTCTGCGGAGCGTACTCAAGGAACGAAAAGCCGGGGAAGTTTTCTCTGGCCACACATCAATCAGGAGGATCTCCTGAACACAAAGACGCTGCCGCTGCTTCTCAATGCTCGTGGCCGTTACCCTCCATCGCATTTTGTCGCGGCTGACAACCGAGCCATCCATTTGGGACTTGTCACCAAATCCATCGTGCCGATTTTCTTGAACGAACATGTCATGATTTTGCACGGAGTGAGTGACAATGCCCGGGAATATGGGCGACTCGTGAGTTGGCATGAAGAACCAAAGGCGTTTGACTGGATGGTGCAACGCAAGTAAATCCTTCCGGGGGAGGGTCTCATAATTTTGGAGGTTCAAGAGCGACTGCTCGGGTTTCTGATTGACTGCTCCATGCAGCTTCTTCAGGATATTACCCCATCCGCCGTCACTAGTGATGAATTCCCTATCTTAGCCGAGCCACCGCTCAAGACCGACCAAGAGATTAACGGCTTCGAGTCCTTGGGGGTTATGGTAGCCGAAGCCCCATATCGGGTTCCCGGAAAGCTACACCTATCTCAGATCGAGTCCCTGCTATCGGCTAGAGCATCGGCAGCGGAGGATCACTTGTGGGCTCTCCGTGAGGATCCCGAATACTTCTGCCATGTTGTTCTCGAGGCAAAGGATCATCGACAGGAAAACCTCGAGGATACTGCTGGAAAGGCCCACCCGGTATTCCGAATTGGACAGCAGGACACTTTTTGGACACGTATCCTCGGTAGTGTCATTTCAGAAGCGTATCTAGAGCAAGAGGTGTTCTCCGAACTGAGCACTCAAGCCAAGGAGCTAGTCGCATTACAAACAAAGTACGCCAGTCAGATCGTGCCTTCGAAAGACCTCCCCAAGGAATATGAGGATGCATTGCTTCGATTTCGATTCTATGTGAATCAGATGGCGAAAGGACCACTGGGTGTCCTCAAAATGAAAGCGCCGGCATCTCCTCCACTACAGAAATTCTTTGCTCGTGAACCTCCTGTCAACCCATACTCGTCCAAGATTCGGACTATGTACAAACCAGGCGTCAAGAAAAACAAGCTCGACACAGTTACTGTGGCTGCTTAGCACTCTATGGGAAGATGGCAAAAATTTGTTCTTCGCAAGTATGCCTGTCGTCGTAGATGAGCTGGAACGTCTACTTCAATCAGACCCACATGCCCAGGAGCTCATCTCTCCCTAAATCAGCTCGGTGATTAGTGACCTTTCCATCATTTCCCAATCATTGAACCAGTTGGACCTCTATCAGCCATGGGCTCAGACCTGGGAGATGAAAATGGCCGAGATTCAAGAGGATTACTCCAAAGAGGATGCTCAACGAACCCAGTCATGGGCCAATATGCTGGCCGCACTCTCTGATAAGAGCTTCACACCTCGCTCAGTCAAGCTTGGTGAGCCCTCTGGTGGCAAATTCACCTATCCCATTCACAAGCGCCGTACCCAGGAAAACACCGAGGCGCTACGCAAATCTGAACACAACCTGGACGCCTTCTGGGCCAGCATTGACCAGCTCATGGTCGCCAAAGCCGGTGACCTGCGCAATACCGCAGTTCGGAGTCTTCTATCCCAGCCACGGATTCTCCAGCGGACTCCAGAATGGACCGAGCCTGAAAAGGCTTCGGCCGCAGCACTGGCGCCGAACCCAGGCGAATCCGATCGGTATGCCATAAATTTGCCGGTCTCAGCGATATATTCTGGCATCTCCCCTCGACAACTGGATGTCGCACCGCCGAAGCAGAAGTCCAAAACGCGCAGAAAGCCCAATCCTGCTTCTGTGGGGGATACAGAAGTCGAAAGCCGAGGTGCAGAAACAAAACCAATTCAATCCTCAGCCCACATTCCCTGTCGATGCGCGTGCTCTAAAAGTATTCCGAACCATTTTCTTCAACCCTGCCACGACTTGTACTCCTGGCGAAGTTCCATGGAATGGTTTCCTCCATGCGATGACTTTGGTCGGGTTTGCTGCCACCAAGTTGTATGGTTCGGTTTGGCAATTTCAACCCACTAAATTGGATGTTGAGAGGAGTATTCAATTCCATGAACCACAGCCGCGAGAGAAGTGCCTTTTACCACCGCTCAGCGATTTGGCCGTAGGTTGAATAGGGCATATGGTTGGTTTGGAGGAATGTTTGTCTTGAACGACAAATAATGCTCAATGGGAACCGTTGGAGGTCGAATCAAGAAAGTGATTCAAACTGATAGAAAGTGGATTTCATTTCAACAATATGCTGAGCTAAGACCAACATGTATCAAATTCAACTAGTTGAAATGACCGAGCAACATGAACCCCCAGCTCCCGAATGGCTCTGTTTCGTGGATTCGATGTTTCCCTGTTGTATCACGAACGTGAACTAAGCAATTTTGAAACCACCATGGTCAGGTCCAAGGATCTTGGCTTGGTTCACCCGGGCGTGATTGAAACATGATGTACTAGTTATCACTCAAGGTATGTGTTCCAGAAGGTCGTCGACCCAGTCGATCGAATCGATATTCAATTGTGGTTGTCATACGGGGGACCATGGCGTGAGCGCGGCAACACCTTCCATGATGATTACTAGAAGTATAGTTTTCGGTTTCAACAGTTTCGTCCTCGGAGACTTATGACGAAACTCAACAAGACACTGGTCTCAAACCAAACAGCTGGTTACCACGCACAGAAAGCCGACAAGTTGGAAATCCAAAGAGCTTAGCCCCAACCTCAAGACAGGCCAACAAATCGAAGGTTGTACAGTTGACAGGCCTCACTCTAAAAAAGTACAACCTTAGGTAACTTACCCGGAACTAAAATCGCGCAATAATGCGGACTATTCTGAGAGTAGTTGGAGATCTGGATCGGCTGTCATGCACACCGCAATCGCAATGCATGGCACATCTGACAGAATACTTTTTACATACACGCCGCGCATACTTACTTGATCATTTCAAGGCGAAACTAGAATATCTTGCGTCATTGCGAGACTCGACTTCCCGTCCCGGTCGGCGCGAGGTGTTGGCTGCCGGTTGCCGGTGGTCTCGACCAGGCGGCGACGATAATCATGTGTCATCCTGTCTCGCTATTAGATAATAATTTGGGAAATGCGGTGGCTTCGATTCGTATGTCCCCACCATTTTGCAGGGGGTTACAGAGTAGTTTTGGAGTTGGATGGGAATGAGGGGGTAGCGATGGGAGAATGTAAACTGTATATGCTAGTTGGGCTGATGTGATACGGAGTACCGGAGAGGACCTCCATGGATATCCTGCAGGGCCGCATTGACGGGTCGAAATGTTGACTATTATATAATTGAATTGCCTAGAATTGTGGCATTCTACTGTACGAGTATTGGGCGGGGGATTAGAATGAGGGGACAAAGTTTCCTTTCCCCCTCATTGACTGCCCCAACCGTTCAAGCAGGCACGTACATGCGGCCATGGCACATCAAGTTGAGGCGGAAATGATTCCTTGTCTGGGTACCGCGGTAATTCCGGGGGTTGATCACGGGGGCAGCGATCCTAAGGGCTGGTATGAGGGAGTCACAGTGCAGTAGGTCGATGTGGCAGCAGTAGACCAACGGGTAGACCAGCGGTAGACCAGAAAAGGGCTGAATGAGTCTGGGGAAGAACAATCTGGGGTAAAAAGACGAGTCCGAGCTCACGCTGTAAGTGGACGGTGGCGCCGTCCTCGGATCCCCCGGCCAGTCAGGTGGCCCAGAGAGGCAAAAATGCGAAAAATTTTTCATTTTCCACTTTCCTTGATTCCATCGGCCACCCTGGCGTCATTTGCCCACTGCATCCGCTGGTTCTTCTGGGGAAAAAGCCATTCCTATTTCGGACGCACAGCCGAAGGGGCCGAGAAAGACAACCTGCATTACAACAGCAAAAGGAGGAATAGAGAAGCTGAAAGAAGAGACAGTGCGGTGGCGTGGATTTTCCAATTTTCAAGGAGGCGATGCGCTTTGCATTCTAGGCAGTCTCGGCATCCTGGGCACGATCAATAGGTTCTTCTCGGCAGGGTCGACCGCATCGGACACATGGGATCAAGGATTGCGCGAATTTGACGACGATCTCAGGTACCGGCGTGAACTAGACTGCCCCTCGGCGGATCACCCGGGGGGTCTGAGACTCTTTAGGGGGAAGAATTATCCCGCAATTCTTGGGCTATGGGGTCATCGTGCTTTGGATCAGCGGGCCCCTCTCTCTAGACTGAGACGGCGTATACACTGTGAATACAGAGTTACAACGAAGTGGATGGGTGTGAGTTTTTTTTGTCTTTTTTTTTAGGATCAGAGGAGTGTGCTCACGGGTCCTCGTTGTTTTGCGAACCCTGTGGGTGAAATGGGAATTGACAAGGTGGGGGTAAATTTTTGATGTACCTTGTTGCTTGCTACCGTGGACATGTAACTATCGTGAGTACAATTTAGGAAAGAATGTCGACATTGGTGGATGATGCAATCCCAAATGTGTCACACGGTCCAATGTTTGGTGCTGGAAGCTGGGGGAATGGTGAAATGCGCCTGACGAGCAAGCGATCCGAGTCGAGCCACGGGGTGCGGTGAGGTGTTCAGGGCGTACGGCGTACGATTTTTACCCCTAGTTTTATTGTCTGGAAGAGTCTGGGCAACAGCGTGAGGTTTTTTTGGGAGTTTTCTGGGGGTAATGAGAATCATCGTGTCCACTCGACAACCCTGTTGGGGTTCTGGACAGGATATTATTGGCAGGTGAGTCAGTTTCTGTTACGTGTTGGCCCCTGGCTCTCCTCATTATTGGAGGCGCCTAGCGCTGGGACTGGGGGTACTGGGGGGCACTGGGGGGGCCCTCGCGGGTCAGATGATGTGTCTGGTACATAAAAGCGGCGAGGAGAAGTGGGTAGAAAATAAGGGAGTCAGGTGGAGTCTGATGGACCGAATGTCAAAGGGATAAACCAGTGAGAAGGTCGTCTGGGGGGAAGCTGACTAGTTTCTATCTCGTGACTGGTCAGCCTTGGCACGTTGCTGAGGCACCCAGTGGATTATGTCAGCGCTGCCACTTTACCGGAATTAGTAATCTACCTCCTGCCGCTTTAACTCTTATGTGGACCGATGACGCCAGGTGGACTAAGTGGAATTCCAGACTGTGTAAGAAAAAATTGAAAAATCGAATAAAATTAAATCCCAGAAAAAAAAATCGAAAGAAAATCCCCACAGCCGCCGACCCACCGGCGTGTGACCCGTGGATGTCGTGCCTGAGAGGTGAAAATGACTCTCGCTGGTAGCGATGGCCTGGGACTATATTAAGTCCTGGTCCCCGCTGTAAATGATGTCTCCATAATTCACAGATTTTACAGATTTTGAGCATCTCAGTCTTTGTTTGTGCTTCATGGACCTGACCTCTTTATAGCTTGCGCTGCAGCTATCTATTACATCTACTCCACAACTTCTCTCTATTACATCCACCACATACACATATTCACCATGCCCGCCTCAAATTACCGCGTTATTGAGCCGCATCCTTCGGTGCCTCATACCAGTCGACCTGCCGTTTACACTGGCCGTGGAGGATCCGGAAATATCATCAGCTTGAAGAATACCAAGACCACCGACTCTCGCACCGCCACAGGCCCTGCCTCATTGACACGCCTGGACTCGCGCGCTCCCACGACTTTTACTTCTGGCCGTGGTGGCGCCGGCAACGTCCACAGCTCCAGTGAACGCGCTATGTTCAGCTTCGATGAAGAACTCGAGCGCGATCTTCGCCGTGCTGCCCCAGTTTACCACGTCGGCCGTGGTGGTGCCGGCAACATGATGTATCGGGACGACGCCAGCAATTGCAGCTTGAGCCGCAAGTACTCCTCCACCAGCACCAACACTGCCAGCAGTTCCGGCTCCGTTGCCGACCGTGCTCGCGACATGGCCCGCCGTGGCCTCGAAAAGGGCTGGGGCAAGCTGAAGGGTGCTGCTTAATTGCGACTTCTATCTTTTGCGACATCCCGCGGGTTCGCCATCGCCCTTGAATTGTATGGCACTTTACGACATCTTACGACCACCCCCAAAAAAGTTCTCTGCTCTTTCAACACACTGTCGACCTTTCGACCTTTCGAATCTTATCTCGTTTTTTTAATCGCACCAACTTCCCGACGTGGACTACCCTAAGAAACTTGGGGGAGCAGATGGAGGCTCTTGAGACAATGACGCCTTTTCACCTCTCCTCGGCCACTCTCCTCGCATTATGTTTTCTTCTCAACAGTGAAACAACCCTGAACCGCGTGTTACAACACAACTCCTCACTCAACCCATGGAATATCGGCGTTCTCTGCGTTCTACCTTGGGTCACCACGGTACCCAAATGCATCACGCCCGGTTCTAGAATCGGTCTTATGTTTCTTTTCCCTACGGGCAAAGCATTTTATGCTGAACTGCATCATTCGAGACTCTCAGTCTCCTTTTGCATCGTCCTTCGGAGCCACATGCTATTATTTTCCCTCGTCTTCTTTTGTTTCCCATCTTGCCTATCATGGCGATTTCTTTACTATTTATCAGATTCCCCCAAATCGTGCCTTCAACTACTACTTTCTAGTTGTTGGCTTTTCAATGAAGATACCAGCCGCAAGGCCGTATTCCAACGATCTCTCATTAATTTCCTGTGTAAATTTTATCTTGATTCACCGTAGTCTTGTAAAAGTGTGTCGGTGTGGATCGGCTGATGGCGACATCTCGGGCCGGTTTGGACGTGGGTCGCACTGGAGTCACCGTCGCAGCCGGATGTAGGCGCTCACAACCGCGCAGGATTTTCATGACTCAGATCTAGACAGGGAATCTGACAAAGAACTGACGTTGTGGCAATTGCCTTGACTGGTTGAACTTTTTTTTTTTACCTTGAAAATTAGGGTTGTTTTCTTCTCTTTCAATTGATTTTGACTTTCATTTTCAAAGGAAATCTTTTGAGAAAGGATCAACGTTGGGAAGAGAAAAAAAAGGCGGTCAATGCCCACCAACGATGTGGACCATAACAGCCCAACAGCCTTGCAAGCTCACGATCCAGGGTGTACACATCAG